TGTGCAAAGGTACCTGCTTGCTCGAAGTCAGTTTGGGGATTACAGGCACAGCACTGCATTAAGTCTATTGTCATCCAGGGAAATTGAATGAGAGGAACATTATGCTATGAAGCTGTTCCCAGATACAAGCCTTTAATGGAACTGCCGTTGTGTTTTAGCTACAGTTTTGAGCCTTTGAACATTGTTTCATATTATGCCATTTAAGATAGTTCAAAGGGATGGATTTGGAACAGTGTTTTTGAGTGGCCCAGAAAGAGGAGCACTCAGGAGTCTATCGTGAGAGGGCCTGAGTGAAAGAAAATGATGTTGTAAGGTCAGTACTATTGTGCTGTGACCTTCTCCTGGTAGGATGCTAAAAAGAAGATAGAGAAAATTGAGAAGGTTCTTCAGGAGTCAGAAACAGGCCATGATTTGCGCTCCAGCCGTGATCTTCTCAAGCAGCACAAGCAGCTGGAAAACGAGACACGTGAGCTGGCAGAGAAAATGAACTCTATTGTGTCTCACGCAAGGAAAATGGCCACCAATCACTTTGACTCCCAGAGGATTCTGGATGAAACACAGAAGTATCTGAAAAGGTGAGGTGCCATTCTCTTTTTGTCTTCATCTCCATGACAAGTTCGTAAGTCAGTAGTATTTTTTGTTCTGCCTTCTAGAAAATGTCTTTCTGTTGATTAGGTTTAATCCATATTCAAGAATCATTTCTCCTCCCAGTTCTACCATAACTGTGCTTTGGTCTGCACCTACACAGCTGTCTGCTGACCCACCTCAGCCTTTATTATTGGATCTTACTTTCTGCTTGTTATGCTCCTTCTGCTCTAGTCCTTTGCTTACCCATAGGCCATCCAGCTGCTTGTTAAGTGATGCAGTGATCCAGAGTTCAATAGTGACTAGCTTCATTAAAACATCTCAGGACAAGCCTGGAACTTCAAAAGTGTAAAACATGTTTTTTTTCTGTTTGCATTTAGTGTTATCGCATAAGCCTACACCAAAAAGTGGGCTGCAATTCTCTTCCCAGCAGCGCTACTGAACTGACTGTAAACTAAGGCATTGGTAGCATGTTAACTTTATACCCCTTTATGTGTAGTCTTACCAAATGGAAGATGTTTTTGTTAACTATCCATTAGCAATATTGGTTGCAGCAGGATGCTCCGTGCAATGTCGTCAGCATTACAGCAGTGTACAGCCCTGCTCCCATTTCCTCTGCCTACTTTCCTTTTAAATGCGATACAGGTCTTATGTCAAATCCTCTTCATACTTGCCAGAAGCAGCCTTATTGAGAAGTACAGATAGCACTAGCTATTGAAATTTAATTGCAGGCAGGTGCCCAGTGTTTTCTAATCTGCACAGTGGGATCTCAGCCTAATTCCTACGGAATTAGGGAATCAGAATAAAGCTTTGTTTTAACATATATCTTAATGGATGACCCTCAGATTTGAGTCTTTGCAAGTACCTCTTGATGAGAGGCATAAATTACTGGAAGCTGCAGTGGATCTCTATGAGTTCTATCACTATCATGACATGGAGCTGAACTGGATTAACGAACGACTGCCTATCGTCCATTCTACCAACTATGGGAAGTCTTTGGATGTGGCTCAAAGCCTGCTGCAAAAACACAAGGTAACTCCTTTAATCAGGTGTGTTGTAGCGTGATGGTGCACTATACTTCATCTCAACTTGCAAACCAGCAGCTGCAAGTTCTCCTTTGCCTCTAGGGAGGCTGCTGTAAGCAAATCCTAGTGCCAGACTCTCATTGAGGTATGATCCCAGCACTAGCTCATTTAAAATGGTTCCAGCAGACTGAGACAAGTCTGCGATGTGGTGGTGATTTTCATAGCACAGATGGAATTCCTGTAGGAACTGCAAAATTTATCATGTTTTACAGTATTCATAGTCTGAGAAAGTTTGTAGCTCTTCCCATTAAAAATGCATTAAAAAAAACTCACATGAAGTGTAAAGAATGTTTTTTTTCTTTGGTGCAGTGGTCTAGGTAGAATATTTTAGCCCTTATATGCTCATCCTATTTTAATCCTGTACTTACTGCTCTCATGATGCAGGCAAAGTCATCCTGAGCTATGTGCATGCTAGATACTGTAGGACAGCATAGAACTGCTATTCAATGTTTATTTTAGTTCCACAATTATTTGTAAGATGTTTTGAACAAGCCACAGTCAATGTATGTATAAAGACAGGTTAACACTGATTTCTGGAGAGTCTGGCTCTTTGTAGAAGCTCCTCACAGACAGAGAGGCAACTCAGAGCTGCCCTGCACCATTGGCAACACTGACTTTTATAGCTGCTGGATTGCAAGTTCCGTGGGAAGGGGCATAGGACCAGTGGAGGTTTTATGGAGCAGGAGTTGGGAGTCTAACGACATTCATGGTAGCATGGTACTGTTAACAGCATCTCTCTTCCCACTGTCCTCCAGCTCATTTGACTTCTGGGATATTTCCTTTTCCCACCAGCAGCCCAAAATTCTTTTCTGAATCCCCCACCTCTGCCTCCCATCCCTAGTTCCCCTGCTCCATCTCCTGAACCTCCCTGGCTGCTGGGCATGGGACATGGCAGGAGCACAGGAAGGTGTAGAACAGCCCAGAGCACTGGGCCAAGGACTTTGGTGGGGAGAACTTAAGGTGAAGGAAAGGTGAGGGGAGTTGTCACCATACAGACTCTATCTGCTTCCTCAGTGGGGCTGGGACAGGCTGTCCAGGCTGCAGCTGTTGCAGAAACAGGCAGTCTTTGTGTCCACTGGTTTGGACAGCTTCTGCAGTCTGCCCACCATCAGCAGCTGCCAGTTTTGCTTATGCCTAGAAGAGCATATAGAAATTTCTTTGTTCTCACATGCCCTTCCTTTCGTTCTCATCTTCCTCCTTTCTCATTCCCAGGAATTGCAGGCAGAAGTAAATGCCCACAAACAGCAAGTCCAGCGGGTTCTGGATAAAGGGAGGACAATGCTCGTGGGTCAGCACCCCTCGGCTCAGAAAATAAGTGAGAAATGCCAGGAGCTTGTGACTGCCTGGCAGGGTCTGGAGAAGGCCTGCGAGGAAAGGATGAAGCAGCTGCAGCATTCAGTTGGCTTCCAGGAGGTACAAATTGCAGCCAAGTGCTTACATAGTAGCTTCTCCAGACAAATAAAAGGACCAAAGTTTTAAAACAAATAACAAAACATCTTTAATCTCTTGCTCTGCTGGGACTGGAATTCACTTCAGATGCTTGACACCAAACTCATGGGAACAGAGGGCTGGTCTGCACACTGAATGCAGCCCCCAGCCTGGAGCTCATGGTCTAGAGGTGTGACTTGGATGCTGTACTCATCCCTTGATGGCTGGGTTTAGGACAAACACTTCTAGACCGAGTAGTAGCTCCTTTCTCAGTAGCCCTATATAGACTCAAGCTTTAACTGTAGTAGTACAGTGGGTCCTGAAATGGCCCTTCACACTGGAGTACTATGACAAGTAAATAAGAAACGAAAGGATCTCTTGCGCCGTCCAATCCCTGCCTGTTCTAGGCAACAATACCTTGAAATGATATTCAGAAACTGATAAAGCTATCAGTTAAACTAACTGATAAGGCCATCACAGACCAAGATAGGAATTTTGGCCCTACTATTTCAACAGGATAATGGACCATAAGTTTAGCCTGTTTTTAAAATTTGCATGCAAATATTTACCTAGCTAATCCAAATTTTCTGTCATTAGTGGGTCATTATCAATGCAGTTACCCAGCTGACACACGCAGTTTTGTAGACATAAGTAGCAGCTGCACAGAGTTTCAATATACAGCTAAAGTATGTTCCCTGGAGATTTTGGTCATCTCTGGCTCTTATTTCTTCCATCTGTAAAAACAGCAGTCCACACTACAGGCTTAATGAAGCCTGATTTTTATAGGTGACTTAAACTTCTCAGAAAGGGCAAGGAGAAATATCTCACTGACGTTCTACGGTTAGCGCCTACCCTAGTGAATGACATAAAGGAAGAGTCAAGTAAGGATACTGATGTGAACAAAATAAAAATGAGGCACCTAGAAACTTATTTCCAGAGCTTTGATGCCTGGAGAAGGCCTTAATTATCCTACACGGAAGTCTTCCACCTGTGGTCTCCTTCACCTGCATATGATTTGACAGAGCAAGAGTATGCTTAAAATCCTCTTAGTAGTTTCCAGTTTGTAAACAGGTTCTATAGCTTAATTTTCCATTTAGAATAGTATTTTTCAGAGAGTTAAAAGCTAACTAATCCATCCCTAGCTTCATCGCTTAGGAGGAGTGACCTCCTACAGGTCACCTACAAGTTACAAGGTCACCAGGACTCCTACAAGTTAATCTGGTTACATGGAATGGTGGTTCTTGGGATTAAATATTCTTCATCTGTTATTCTATATGGCCTCACAGTAAATCTTACAGTGTGCCCTCCAGTTAGAAATTATCAAATCAAGAAAATGACACAAATATTATGGAAGCTGAGGGAGAAACTAATTCGCCTTCTCTTTGACTGATAGTTTTTAATGAACACCTCAGACCTGGAGGCTTGGATAGCAGAAAAACGTCCACTTGTGACAAGCAAGGAGTATGGTAAGGACGAAGATGGAACGCTGAAACTCCTCCAAAAACATAAGGTATTTCAAAACGCAAAGAATTTCAAAAGCTTTTTAGTAATCCTTGAAGAATTTAATAAGGAATGTTGAGAGTTGACATCCATGAATGAGTTAAAAAATTGAGTTCCTGTGTTGCTTTGGGAAAGAATTGCCTCTATCAGATTTGGATTCATGGATCCATTGATAAATCAGTGGTTCAAGAAAGCTTGGATCTTCTCAGTCCATGTGTCGTGCTCTGGAGCAGCAGTGCATCAGAGCTCCCTAAGGAAAATGTACTTATGCTATGGGGTTCAAGAAACACACTATATCAAATAAGACCACTCACTCCAGTATAGTAGGGAATGGTGTTGACTGGCTACTAAACCCATATCCTCAAGACTTTCTTGAGTGAAAACACATGTTTGTGAGGTAGGATTTTGAAATATTAAGATAGGGTGACAATGCAGAGATCTTCTTTTCGTGGTGGGGCTGCTTTTATTCCTTCAGGAAAGCTTAAAGCTCAATGAATGTGTAGCAGGACTTTTCTCTCTCCAGTGGAAGCTAGGCCTTCAGTTTGATGCTATTTACACATACTACTAAACCTTGAAGAGATTATTTTTCAGATTTGTAGATAGAAAAAAATATTTCTTCTCTCCTGCATTTAAAAATCACTCCATTCCTCTTTCTTTCTAGTTCATCTATCTGAAAATTGGTGTCAAAGGAGGTCAAGGGATCTGTACTTAAATTCTGTACACTGGCAGGATCTATGGATCTGTCTGCCTTTGTGAAATTTTCTGTTTCTGTTTCATTGGTACTTGAGTGTCCAGTCATCTGCAGAATATTTCACATTGACTTATGTCCATATCTGTATGAACTCATAGAAAAGATAAATTCAGCTTACTAATATATGTAGATAAAAAGTGATTGAGGAAAAAGGAGAACAGTAATTTTCTCATCGTAATTTTCTGAAGACAAAACTGACTGTGATCTGATATCTGCTTTTCAGTCACAACAGAGGCATGCAGAAGCTGTAATTTTGTCCTAGAATTGAAGATATAGTATTAGTCCAGGAATACCATTCTCCATCTAACAATATTTTTTTATCACTTTATTTGAATTAAGGTACAATTTATCCATTCCCCACCCCCCAAAAAAAAAAAAAATTGAAAAAAAATTATATAACGTTGATGAAATCTAGGAAAGCTAACATGCTTCCAAAAAGTTTTTCTCCTCTTTTAATGGCTCAGTGATCACGCTTGAGGTTAGTGCAAAAGTTCAAATGGTACAGATCTTGGGCAAGTGGCTCTCATTCACTCTTCTCTATTTGTCTTCTCTCTGCCAGGCACTGGAGCATGAGATTGCTGTTTACCAGACTTTGATGAAAGAAATGAGTGAAAGTGCCCAGCCTCTTTCTCTTGTGGGCTCCATTCAGTATGTTGATGTTGATGGCCCAAAGGACCAAGTTCACTCAAGACTCCAGGAGTTGCAGGAACTAGCAGCGGCAAGGTAGGAACTAGAAAAATATATATCTCAACTGACTCTCATATACACTGGAGAGTCCCTTGGATCCTAGGTTTGATTCAAAGCCCACTGAACTCAATAAAGGATATCTCCAGTTACCTCGCTGGGATTTGGATCATATTCATTTTCTCTTCTTTTTTTTAAATTGTACTTAGAAATTGCTTGTCTCTATGTTTGAATCCCGCACACTGCTGAGCTTGTTCAGGTAGTCCCACTTCATATTAGGGATTTGAAAGCCACAAAATTTCCTCGTTTCCCTTCATCATTGTCCTGTAAAGTGATTGGAGATGCTGGATTCTGACTAGCCTTCCTGCTATTTGGAATCTGTCATCAAAAGGAAAGAAACTGTTTTTGAAAGGCTTCCTTAGCATTGTTTGTAAATGTCTTGATTCATTACACAGCAGAAGAGAGATAATGACAGTTATGCTTATCTTTATGCCTAGTGACTGTGTCAGTATAGGAAGGCTTTTATCCTTAAATGAGTCATTTACATTCTGTTTCACTTCCATTGTGTTATTATTACAGTAAGATGTTTACAATGAGACAGTTTGCTTGTACCTGAGGTTTTTAAACACTTCTAGTTTGTTGTCCGGAAGGAACTTGAACTTTTTACTTGAACGATTTAGTTTTTTGTGCCACAAAAATTTCATTTAGAAAAGGGATGGGACTCAACAAGTGGAATAACAAATAAATGAGTCTGAAAACTGGAATATTTAAGTCCACAGGAAATGCTGGGTTTTTACCTCTTGCTTTTATTTTGGTTTACAATTAAAAAGGTAAAAGCATGGAAAAAACTCTTAGGAACGAAAGGTTCAGAAAAAGGAATAAATGTTCAGTCTATAAGTGTCAATACACTTGAGGGTGTTGAACAGAGAACTGTTTTTGTGTTGTTTCTTGCTTAATGCTAACCTGGGTCTCATGGTGCCTTATTGGTGCTCTGGTTTGTATCTCCTACCTGTATTCTCCTTCGAGGTCTGGATTCTCTGAGCAGGCTACATCTCTTGGGATGAACATTTGTTATTCAAATAGAGGGAAGCCTGATTCATCTTTTCTGCAACATTTGCACAGTAAACAGAGAGAGTTCAGCTAGGCGCTGTACTGTGCTGAGAAACTCAGCCAGCTGAGCCTGACCTGGCCAACTGCAATTGTCCTAGAGACATCTTTTGCAATCTGGAAAGCTAAAGTGAGACCTAAAGTGAGAATGAATTTCAGTAGGGAGAGGTTTGAGGGATCAGTAGGAAGAAAATTACTCATTGCCCTCCTTTTTAATTCCCTTAGTCTCATTGCATTGTCTTGTCTCCTTTTCCCAACAGAGGGAAGAAGTTGAATGAGACTCTTACCTTGCATGAATTCCTACGGGAATGTGAAGATCTGCAGGACTGGATCACTCAACAGAAACAAATGGCCAGCTCTGAAGACTATGGAAATGACTACGAGCATGTCTTGGTGAGTTTTTTGAATAACAGATTGAAAGTCAACTGAACTGTGTGGAGCAGGACTGCAAAAAGATTATAGCTTTAGACTTAGAAAAGCAGCATAAGAAATAAGAAACTGGGAGGTGGGAAGAGAAAAGGGGGAGGAGTGGGCAAAAAGGATTGACTGGTAATGACAGGCAGGCAGTGTTGCCTAACTCTTACATCCTGTTATGTGGGGGCTAGAAAGAGGGCTGGACTACATGAAACAACTGCAGGCTGAAATGTCTACATCTTCAGAGATTCAGAACAACATTCTATTTTTAATAATCAGATATTTAAATGTGGTGTCCACTCTGGAGTTTTTATCACTGTTAATGTAATAAAATTGTGTGTGCAATGCTAAATGCTCATGTGTGGGCATCTACAGTTATACTTCTCAAAATCTTCATTTTAATCATTTATTTCAAAATATCTTCTGTCCTAAATCTTGGAACTGGGCTACAGCATTCACTTATTGTACTGAATGCGCATTTATATTCATGATGTAAGCACATATCATTACTAATTGAAATTCATTGTACACTGAAAAAATGTGCTTGTTTCCATGCCCAGTAACATGATCCTGCCTCCTATCTGCCTCACAGACCTCATGCTTTTGCTACCAATCTGTAGATCATCATGGTCGTTGGAGGTAAAATCTAATCATTGACATCCTTCTCTGCAGTTTCTTCCTCTCCAAATATGGTCAGCCTATTACCTTTCTTTGAGCTCTGTTCTGACAGCTGGGCAGTATATTTGGGAAAAGCAGCACTCAAAATGACTTCTTGTTGTTGTCTTTCCTTTGAAAGCAACTTTGTGCCAAATATGACACATTCCGACGCCAGTTGGAAGGAGCTGGGAAGAGAGTCGTGGCTTGCCAGCAGCAGGCAGAAAACTTGCTAAATTGTGGTCATTCTGAGTCCAGAGAAATCCGGCAGAAGCAGAAAGAACTAAGGTAGGAGACTTGTGCTAGTCCTATAACACTTTCTCCTTTCAGTTCCCTTGCAAAGAGGAGGAAGTGAGAAGAAATTAGAAAAGGGTAAGAAGGCAGTTACTCCCAATTCTCTAATTGCGAAGTGTGCAGTTTGTTCACTGACACAGAACTGCTGCATGCTTCATTTAAAAATAGACTACTATAATACAGACTCCATCTGCTTGCTGATTTGGCTTCTTGCAAATTGCATCAGAGGCGCTTTGCAAGCAAGGGGTCAATGAACTTCCTTTGCCCTTTGAAATAAGATCACCTAACTGAAGGGCTGGGAGTTTAGTTGCACCTTTATTGCTTCAACTTCTCGAGTTTGAATCCCATGACTGCTCTGTTGCAACCATTAAGATCATCTTTGCTTCTCATATTGTCTGGCACTCGTCCAAACAGGCCCCAAAGAGAAGGATGAAGAAGTAGTAGGGTCTGGCCTAGTCCTCATCCCAGTCCTCTACAAACAATCTCTCTGCTCCTAGTGCCACATCTCAAGAAGCCAGGGACCAGCAGCAGCAGGGGAGGAGAAGGTCTGCTGCCCCTTTTGGCAAATCCCCAAATCCTGTAGTGTCAGGTGTGCTGCTGGGCAGGTGCAGCGTTTGCTGACTGTTGTGAGCCTGGCAGTGGAAATCAACAGAGGGCCTGGGCTGGTCATCTGTTTGGTGTTTGGATCAGTGTGGAAGTTTTAGGGAGGCAGCCTCATGTAGGAAAGGAGTTGTTCCCCTCTTAGAACACATGTATGTGCTTCATCCAGAAGTCCGTCTGCCCCACTATCTTCCTCCCCTCCTCCCATGTGGCTGCATCAGGTTGTAGCGTGTGAATCCTGAAGGGCATGTTGGAGACGGACATCCTTATATAGGAGGCATCTGTGTAGGTACCTGGAGCAGAGAGGAGGACATGGACAGAATAAGACAAGGGACGTGTTCTGCCCCTCGGAGAATTGTTTTAACAGAACTTAATGGCAGGACTGAAAAACACAAAATAAGTGAAGGTCTTGTTTTTAAGCTTTCTTCAGACCGTTAATCTCACTTACTCCTATTTTGCATGTTTTACATGCTTCCTTTCCCCATACTCCTTTGTAGGAACTCCTGGGAGGAGCTATTGGAAATTACCAGATTACAAGGTGAGCGACTAAGAGATGCTGAAATGATTCACAAGTGTTACCAAGACCTGGCAGATGCTCTGGCCCATATTGAGGTAAAACACATGGGAGAAACCTCATATAGTGACAACTTTCATTGCAGCTTAATTTGTGGAGTATTCTTACAATTTTCAGCATGCCTGCTGCTGGCTTTTAGGTATTCTCAGTGAGAAACTGTGTCTTACTCAAAGTTCTCAAAAAATCCTGGGTAATCCTTATGCCTAAGTGGGCAGTTCATGAGACCACTGGTGAGACTAGGTGCAGTTAGAGTTGCTTATTTGTGGGAGAAGCTGAGTGACCAGGTCTTGAACTAAATTGTCTCATAGTGTAACATATATAGTAATGTTATTTCCAGTTATCAAGTCAGATTAAAAAACTGTTTGCTGCCTCACCGTACTCCTTCCTTTTACACCATTGGTCCTCTATGCACTGAAGAAAGAACTCTCTTGAAAAAGGCATTTGTTTGGATCACAGTGACCATTAGCCTGGAAGGGGTGTCAGGCAATTATGTGGACCGATGTCAGAAGTAAGGCCGAAAATGAGTCCTTTTCCTGTGTTCCGGTGCCCAGTACTGAGAGTAACTTCAAACAGTCACAGAAGGACAGGAGGAGAAATCCCAGTGAAAATTTTCAGGCTTCCATTTTATCTGCGCATCCCAAAGAATTTCATGGGAAACCACATCCTTGCTGTACTGGAATGTGTGATCACCCTAATGTAGGTGTATATAGGAGGAGGTGATCCAACAGAGTGTCAGCTGTGTGCAAGCCAACAGGGCTGTGTTAGGTTACAGGCAGTAGATTTTCTGCTTTTTTGCGCTGGCAGAGGCTGCCCTATTCAACTATGTTATTCCTGTTTTCTTTCCCTGTTGTAAATGGAAAAGCAGATGTCATATATTTCACTGTACATCAGCTGGAGTTTTAAGAACCTGGTACACATTTAACTTCCATATTTCAATAGTTAATTCTGTGGCTGTGACAAGTGACACTTCAGAAATACTCCAAAAAACAGCTTTTGGTTTATCCCTGTGCTGAATTTGGCTCAGGCAGTGACAATTTTCACTTCTTGCATCTCATCCTGTTAATAAGCTTCACATCTGAGTGAGAGAGCAATTCAGTCACCATGTCCATCCTTTCATGTGTCCCCTGATGAGACGTCTAGCAGGGAATGTCATATCTAATAGGAACATGGGACTAGAAGATACCTCTTAAGTGACTAAGTCCAATACTATCGTACCATAGGCAACCATACCATGCATCTCCTTGTATAGCCTTAACAAGATGCATTGTTAGTACCCCCAAACCCGCCCAAGAGTCTGTTACAGAAACGCTCTTCTCCAGTGTTTGGAAATGTTCTTCTAATTTTCACCTAAACTGACCTGAAGCAAACTTCAAACCGTTTTATTCTGGTGACGATGCTGTCCTCCAGCTGAAATGCCTTTTCTTTTTCCTTGCTGTGCTGCCAGTGCATGTCTGAATAGCAACTCTATGCCCCTCAGAACCTTTATTGAGCTAAATAAATGTTTAAGTCTCCTCTTACATGATGATCTCTCAGTTTCTCTCATCCTTACAGTAATCCTGCTTTGTGTATGTTGCTTTTTTAACCCATCTTTTCTAAGCAAGTGTAAGTAAATTTTTGTGTAAAGATGGTTGACAAATGGTCCACATGCATGCCAAAGAGTGGCCTGAGATTACTGATTTTTAGCACTACTGTAAGAGTTCAGCAATGGTTACTGCAATAGCTATTTAAGGTAGATTCCCAACTCGAGGCCTATAAGACTTTTTCTTGTATTGCCTAACCAAGAAAAGACTTGAAATTTGGTCTCTCACAGCCCAGCAGAGTAGTTTAATCACTGATGTACTTACCAGTGTAAGGACAGATGTTCTAGGACAGGTTTTTCTGGCTTCTCTTTTGAGTAACAAGTAAGGAAAGGTAGTCCTTACTTGTGCAGTATGAAGAACACTACTCAAAATGACTAAAGTAGAATTCTGATGCGCTTTGCTTGGAAACATTAACTAACAAAGCTTGCACTGATTTCTTCCTTGCTAGGAAAAATCCAAAAGTATTCCAGATGACGTTGCTAAGGACATGAGAGGTGTGCAAGCCCAGCTCCGCAACCATGTGGCCCTGGAGCATGAGCTTATTGGGAATGAGCAGCAGGTAATGAAAGTCATTCATTGTCTTTAACGTGTAGCCAAAATCCAGGTTTCCAGTACAACCATAGTAATAATTTGCTATTATGAACTTACCTCTAAGAGCCTGGAAAAGGCCAAGGGTCTTCCTCAGAGTCTTTTGCTTTTAAGTATGTTCAGGTCTGATGGAAATGATGAAGTGGGTCATTTAAAACCTTAAAAAGAGGGAACATGTTGTCATGAGTGTTGACTTTTGAAGGGATTCACAGGAATGCTACTGATCACTGTTTGAAATGCATCGTTATACCAAGCTTTACGATTTGTTTACCCCCTAGTTCAAAGCATTTCAGGTAATTGCAAGGAAAAATCCAGAATCTGTTCTATGTGCAGAGAGATGCAGTATTTATTGAACATAAAATGAGTAATTGACTACAGGGGATTACAGAAATAAGGGTGGAGGAGCAGCCTGGGAACTTCAGCAGCTTTAGAGCGTTAGGGATTGGACTGTGAGAAAGAAGAGAAGGGTAGGGCTTGCTATACAAATTTATGAAAAACATCAGTTCATGGGAACAGCTATTGCTTAGAAAGCTTCCTCTTATAGAAGAGATGTGCTTAGCTTCAGCTAGACCAATAGAATCGTACAGTTTTCTCTTTATCCCTTTGTTTAATAAACGTAACTTCAGAGTTAGTACAGTCTGTGTTATATTGAGATTACTAAAGGAGTTATCCCACTATCACTTATCAGTGGCCTGATATCTTGGCCTTATGGCAGATAAAAATTGATCCCATCCGGTACTTGTTACTTTTCAAAGTAAAAGAGCATGAATGAAGAGAATGTAGTCGCAATTAGTCTAAACACCAGGGAAAACAAGGTATGGGTATCTATTCTTTGCATTAGTTTTGTAGTGGGGTTCCATTTTGGTAAATGGTATGGTAGAAAGAAGAAACAAAACCTTTCTGCCTATTTGACAATTGCCGTTGTGATGAGCCCTGGCAAACACTGGATGTCACTGTTATTCCACAGAACTGAAATTGGGGAAGCCTTTGTTTAAGCATGGGAAAACTTAGGTCTGAGAATGTTGCTTGAATTGTGGTGTCGTGTACAGGTAACTTAGCCTTTGTTGTCATTTTTGTGATGTTAGCTGGATCTTTATGACTCTTTCTTTCCTACCTTCTTCTTTCCTCCCTACGTGTAGCTGCAGGAGCTGATTCACTTTGCAGATCGTGTGCTGGCCCACTGCTCTAAGAAACAGGTGACAGACCTGAAAGCAAAGCAGCAGGCAATAGTGATAAACTGGAAGGCCCTGAAGTCTAAAGTGGAACTGCGCAAGGAACTTCTGGAACAAGCGTACAAGCTTTACCAGTTTCAAGCACATGTAAGCACTTCTGCCTTCTGTCCTTTGGCACACAGGGAAAGCTGCCTTCAGTGTGTGTCAGTCATGGGTGGACTTCCGAGCTGCAAAGGCTGAAGCGAATGGCTGCAGGGGCTGTCTGTGTTGCTCACCTAGTATTTAAGTGCTTGCAGCTATTTAGAAAGGTGTTAGAGGATGAGGATCTTTTGCCTTTCAGAGTAAGGGAAGCTTGTCCAATAGCGTATGAGTAATTCGACAGCTGTCAGAGGTGGTCATCCCTTTGCAGGAATAGTAGTAGATGGACGTAATTTTCAAAAGCCCTGCTTTATTCAGGGCATACAGTAATCTTTGCTTAACTTGCTTCATGAAGTGTGTCAAACACAGCTCACTGGTCTTTGCTGTGTCATAGCAGTAACCTCTTAAACACAGTGACTTACATATATCAGCACAGTATTGCTAACTGCAAGACATGGTAATTGTCTCTGCAAAGATTTCAGTAGGCCATGGAAAACTATGTGAATGACAATAGTTTCAGTGAAGTCAGCTGAGTTATCCCACCCTAAATTAGTGGGTTATTGCTGCAAGTACTACAGTGGCAGGTACAGAATGATGAGGGTCCCCCTTGTATCAAATACCATATAAGATATGGGGTGGGGGGAGCCAATCCCTTGTAATATGAATGCTCCCTATGGTGTTCCTGTGCTTCAGGTGATCCTATGCTTCAGCTGTTCCAAATGTAACTTTGATGTCAAATGAAGATGCTGCCAAGCTGCAGTAGTTCATTTGCTGTTTCTGTGGTTTCTGGGAAGCAGAGAATAGTCAGGGTGTGTTCACCTGGGTGAAACCTCCCATACGTTCGTCTTAAGGGTATGACCTGGGAGCGGGACTGCAATAGATTGGGCATGATGCTTTTCTGTTAGCACGAAAGGCCTCTGTGCATTAGGTCAATCCACTTCAAGTCTAAAGCTTTAAGTGTAGCGAAAGGTAAAGGATGCTCGTGGCACTGTGTTTTCTGGAGTTTTCTTTTTAGCGATTAAGACTTCATTCTATGAAAAGTTCTGGTGCAAAAATGTTGAGAAGGAAATAGAATAAATTAGAATATTAATTCAGGAAAATTAGAGCAGTTCTACGAATGTAGGTGAAAGGTCCATCTATCCAGTATCCTCTTTCTGACAGTGGTCCAAAGCAGATGTCTAGGGAAGACTGTAAGCAGAGGGCAAGCTTCTTCTCATGTGTATTCTTCTAACACATATTAGCTTCTGGTAGTCTTCAGCCTGGATGCAGCCTCATCAGGAGACAATACTTTGATGGATTTGTCCATTAAAACACAGTCACTCAGAGTTCCTTGTCGTGTTCATCTTTTTTCAAAGTTGATGTCATCAGTTTAGTTGCTGGCTTCATATAGAAGGTGTCCTGTTGGTGAGGTGCTTTTTTTTCTTTCTGTTGCTGGAACTGTACACAATGCAAACACCTCTGGTTTGAATTTTATCTAAAATCTTTAACATATCCTGTCTGAATGGCAAACCTATAACCATTGCTTACTCTGGCAAAATGTATCCTCTCATCTGCATTGCTAACCTTACAAGCAACAAACACTGTATATGATGCACAAACCCATCAGTACTTAACAGAGAAGGCTATACCATCGTTAGAGCATTTTGTTAACATTATAAAACAAAATGACAAAAGCCAGGTGACTGCACTCCCAGTGACATCTCTAGATGCATCTCTTTGTTTCTTTAGTGCCAGTTTGCTGACAAGAAGTATTTCTGATCCTGTCAGTTTTAGCCTCCTTTCTTGACAATAATTGTCAAAAAAGTGCATAAATGTTTTGGCAAATGCTGTAACCCACATCTTTCTGCCCAGATGGGACCAGGCAGGGTTATCCAGCCAACTCTAAAGGCTGTCAGAATCTCAGCAGCTCCGAGGTAGGTTAGAGTAAATTTGCTGCAGAACGTCCCCTAAATTGCTGACCACAAGGGGCAACTTTGCTCATTTTCCTCTTTCAGATGTGCCAAGAGGTCCACAAAGTTGCTTAATGTCTACTACCCAGCGTATTTTTTTCATTAGTTTTGTTCACATGCAGAGCCCATAGGGCTTTTTTCATTGTGCAGTTTTATGTGGATTAGAGAGCAGAACAAACATGAAACATCTGCAAATCTTTCCATGAAATCAGAATTTTGCACAATCACCTAGTGTATCTCCTTGCTTCCTATCAGGTATGATTCCACTCTGATGAAACAGCAGAGCTGGCCGTAACTGACAGCAGGCAGCAACAGCAGAGGGCTCCAGATGTTCCAAGAAACTCTGTGAAGGAGTCAGAATTTTGAATTAGGCTTGAAACTTTACTGCGTGGTCTGAGGCTGTTGCTCTGAAGTTTGTGCAAGGATCTACATGATCTCAGTCTGGCCCTGCTTAGGAGTTTCTTGCAGTTGGATGCCTAGTCTTTCCTTAAATGTTGCTGGCCGTGGCAGTCTAATAACCTCTTGTTGGCTTCTGGCTTGTTCCATTGCATTAAATATCCTGAGATTTATGGATTTTTTCCTTAATGGTTAGCTTAGATCTCAGGCAGTCTTAGACATTTGCACTGTGCCAAGTGCAATGTCAGTGTCTTCAGTGACATCCAGCTCTACATGAATTACAGTTCTGCAAATCAAAACGATGCCAACACATGTGCTCTAGCTGGGCCCATTTAAAAGGACCACAGTCACTAGAAAGAGTCACAGAGTAGCTGTGTTACCTGACTTTAAGAAAAAGCATCTCATTTTGAAAGGTTAACTCTGAGGAACCTCAAACTGGCCAGGCTCGATTTTGTGGTGCTTTTCTGAAAACTCTGGTTTCCAGAAGGATGGTTCACTAGCCAGCTTTAAACTGTATCAAATTTTAATAACACAGACAAAATCCATAGATAAAATGGAACAGTGGAAAACCAGTAACCATTGACCAGAGAGATTTTTTAGCTTTCTGCTGTAAAAGAGCATTTTGCTTTAGCACTGGTTGCCTGTGACAGTCTTTTAAAATACAATAGAAATCTGACAGACCATTTACTACCTCAGATCAAATAATCCAGATACAATTAAAGTATAATAAAACTTTAATTAAGGATCCCATACAATCCCCTGTAAATTCCATTGGTGTCCTATTTTTACCAAGTGACACCTGACACCATGGCAACACCTATTTATTACAGATTCAAATGAGATGCCAAAAATAAATGGGTTGGTGAAGGTGCTATAAATCAAGCACAGAAAATGACACACAAAAAATGTCAAATTATTTTTAGTTGCACAAGTTTCTTCTGTTACAAAGTGAAAACAATCATCAGGGTTTTGTTTAAGAATTTTCTTGCTAATAATTGCCTCAGCTGAATGCTTCAGACCTTTCCAGATATTCTAAATGTATATGTGTTTATTGGTTTTCACAGTTTGAAAGTATATTAGCAGTACATCCTTGTTTCTTCCAGAATTGCATTCTATGACAATCTCAGTCATAAAACTCCACTAAACAAGAGTTGAAGCTGCATACCTGATATGTTTAACCATTTTTTTCTGACCTATAGTTGCATTTTTTCCACCTCTATTAGAGTGAGCTCATTTTTCTTTCACCTGACAATTTTCACTCCTGTCTTTCCTTTTAGAGTATGTGTACAACCTGAGTTTTAAATGCACATGTATTAGTCTAAGCTAAGGCAATAGAAAGGTAGGGTGATGTATTGTTATATCCTCTGAGGAGGGATAACTCCAGAAAGCACTTGAGAAATTACGGATTAAAGGGCAATAAATAATATTATTTTGTCACTGATGTGGTATAACAGAGTTTGCTTATAGTTATGACATTACAAAAAATGTATATATGTTTTCTGTTAACACAGTACGTAGAAATTTCCATAGTCATGTTGTCCTCCCTTAATACATTCACAAAGGGGTTATCACCCCTTATGAAATATTTTCCTTTTTCTCTGCTATTCTACTACCTATTATTCACATGGAGGTGAAGAGTCAGCACTGATTTTACTGTCCAATAACCCAAGCTTGAGATCTAACCTCATCTTTCACATTTTCTTGGATTCCAGGTGTGGGACTATTTCTCCTGGGCAGCAGAAATGATAAGGGAAATGAAAGCCAAGGAGACCATTCGGGACATATCTACTAGCAGCCTGAGACTTTCCCAGCATCAACAGCTATTGGCAGAGATTGAAGCACAAGAAGAGAAGTATAACCATGTTGTACAGCTAGGACAGTCACTCTTGCAAGATGAGAAAATAAGAACAAGAGAGGTAATTGAAACACATAACAAGTATTCCTGCATTGCTGGGATGAGCCACCTCTCTTATTATCTCTCTGCCTACATAAAAGCGCTAGAACTCGTTCTGCTTTTCTTTGTTTGAAAATTTTGTCTGTAGTGCCATTTAAGTGTCTTATTCCCAGTTCTACCTAAGCCTTTCTCCTCCCACCTTACCCTACTCCTATGGGGTATGAAAGACCAACAAGAGTTTTTCTTTGGGTGTTGTGTTCAGATTCAGCAGAAGCTACAGGCATTGTTGGAAGAGAAGGAAAACGTATACAATGAATGGAAACGGAAGAAGGAGTGGCTGGAGAAAATACACCAAGAACAGATGTTCTACAAGGATTGGGATCACCTGGACAAGCTCCTGAACTCACAGGAAGTAAGTGAACTTATAAACTTGAAATAAGTAGTTAAACTCTTTAAGCAGGTGAACTCTTCCAGACTGAAAGTGCCACTACTATTCAACAGCAACTTAAAATCCTTGGGTCTGGATATAGACATGATACTCTTTCTGTTATTATTATTTGCATTATGGTATCACTTTGGAGACTATAGACGTGTACAAAGACAACCCCACCCACACCCCCGATTTATGGGGGGAAAAAGAGAAACCTCAAAGATAATTTCTTATGTATAAACCTAACCTGAGAGGTAGCAGACGAAACTGAAGAACCATGACAGAAGGGGAAGACAATGGTACAGTATTAGTCAGCATGAGAAGCAGAGATCTCAGCAGACCACTGCCTAACCATTGACAAATTGTTTTGTAGGCTTCAGAGAAATAAATTGTAAAGAAGGGTTTGAAGGAGGAAAGGAAGATTGCTTTTCAGGTGTTGCTGGAAACCTCCCCAAGGCAGAGTGGTAGTGTTGAGGAAATGCAACTAGTGGAAAATGGATGTTGACAGTGTGAGTTATTCAGGTACAGGAATTGACTTCTCAGTTATACAAGCAAGCTAATAGCAGTATAGAAAAAGACTGCAAATGAATTTAACCGTGAGGAGTAGTTGCTTCTGTTTGTTGCAGTAGAGAAAAGCGAGCTAGTGGAGTCATGAAAAGAGGGCTAACATCATTAATGCAAAGAGCCTGAAGGATGTTTCTTCTAGCATCATTTCGCAGCTCTTGAAATGTATTTTCCCACCAATAATAAATTATCTTTTCTTTTGACTGCCCTTTCCTGGATTCATGGAAACTATTTAAAATAGTTCCTGCTTGAGGTCTAACATTCGCTATCACAAATCTACAAGTGCAGAATTCAGATATCCTTTCCAGATGCTCTGTGCAAATCCATAGTTTGATAGATTGCAGTAGCTGTGCTGAGCCTTGGCACGCTGACCAAATTGATGGGTTGGAGGCTGCCGAACTGAAGGGTTGAAGCAAAACTGAAGGAGGTTAGTACCTTAGGGTCATTTCTTATTATGGAAAAATCATTCTTAATTCTTCCAGACTAGTGGCAGCATTAAAGAATGGCTCCGGGTTTGTTTTGGACTTTGTTTCCCACCAGTGCTTTTCCACTGGCACTAAACCTTTTGGAAAAGTGACCCTGAGCTGTGCTATGCAGTGATACTTAACCGCTTGGGACCCATGGGCCTTTTGCTTCTCGCTGACTGCAGGAAATGTATATCTTCAGAACTCCCAACATGTGGCACCTTTGGCAAATATGGCCTGCACCATGAGTTTGTGTTGAAACTTGAAACCAAGAGAGTTTCTTCTAGCTTCGAGTTTTTGAAGTAAAATCTTACACAGTCCTGCCAGTTAAAAATTTTAATTTGTTTCTTAATTAACATATGGCACAAGTTGCCTAGTATCTAGCTCTGTTTCCTGCTAAGCAGCGATACTTCATTGCTAAGCTCCTATATGGGTAACATCACCAGAAAAATGTAAACTCTGCAGAATTTTGACCACTGTTTTCTTCTTCTTATCATGAAATGGAGATCAGCTGACATGCAGGAACACTGAATACAGCACCTGTTTTGCTTTTACGTACCTCAGTGGTGAATACGTAGCATAGCTGCCTAAGGGCTTGTGTTTCTTCTTGCCCTCAGTCATGACTGCTGATCACAGAAGATTATATTACTCTTACATGGAAGGGGTTGCACCTGGCAATTCCAGTATGCCCCAGCACATCCTGTACAGTTAACTGTACTTCATATTACTTCTTTACTCAGCTGAATTTACCACTGCTATATGCTGCAAAGTAGACTGCCATGAAAGGGGAGGGTCTCCATCATAGACTGGTTTAAGTCTCTTGCTAGGAGCAGCTGGAGCACCTGCTGCTACCGCAAGTCTCTCCTGCCAGAGCAAAGCCTGCGAATGAAGAGAGTGACCTTGAGGAGTATGAGGGGCAGTTCTGTTTTCAGAATCTTTCTCTAGCAGTGTTTTCTCTATGAACTTCCAAGGTGTCCAGTACTGTGTTGTTTTTATTCATGTGGATGAGTATTCACAAGCTGGAACAGTAGGTTCTGGATACTTGGTTGTCTCTCCTGGCACCCTCTTGCACAGATAATATTTTATGGTCAGGAAGAATGATAAGAAAGTAGATAGAAAACCATGAAGACAAACTGGTCTCTTCTGTGCGGGGACAGAGAGCGAGGGAGCCACAATCATCATATGCTCCCGCTCCCCCTTGCCCCCTTCCAGTAATGAAGAACAACATTGTGCTTGAAAAGAACACTCTAGCTATGGAAAGAACCATTAACACTTTTGTTTTCTCATTTTTGGTTATATTTAAACCTCAGAAGATTACAACCAATTGGAGCACTGCTGCTTTTGTGAGAGGTCTGTGTATATAAAGAATTACAGTTGTGTGCTCACAGAATTAGTTTTATAAAATAGAAAAGCAGGTCGATGTGGTGTGCACCATATCAACAAAGGTGTCTGATAATGAAATCAGTGGCCAAGTATCTACCTCAGATTCATCAGAGAGATTACAAAACACTTCAGATTTCCAAGTTTGTAACGTGGAGACTGCAGCCAGCCGTACGTCTCCTTTTCCACTGACACAGTTCCTACCACCACCTGGCTATCATTATGCCTAGAAGAGACCATTAGTGATTAGTGCTCAAATTTAATCTAGGAAATGCGTGAGAAGAGGAGATACTGAATTTATTCATAGCCAAGGATACAGGCAAACAGATCCTCAATGAGCCGTGAGCTCTCAGGACAAATGTGGATACTTACTATTCCTCGATGCACCAATTAGCAGAATATCACAAAAGCTTTTCCTCCAGGAACTACTTATTTTCTGTCATCATGATGACTCACTTCTGTGATGTCCATTCTAGTCTTCCTGGTTTTAATCTACAGTTGACACTGAACTAAAATGCCGTGAAGAAAAGGCAACTGCCCAGGGACATTAGCTTGCCTCATAGCTAAAGAGCATTGGTGAAAGCACATCTCAGCTGTATTTCACAAATACCACTGCAAAATACCCCTACAAAAATCACGTTTTTGCTGTCTTTAAGTTGCTTTTACTGACTTGGGACCTGGAGATCACCTCAATGTCCCGTGCCATCCAGAACTATATAAGTCCACAAAGAGTATAAACACGGAGAGGTGCAGGTTTGGACTGTCACATGGCTGAAAAGCTGGACTGAGCAAAGACTAAATGTGTTTACATCCAAATTAAGCTTTACCTTAAAGGAACTTATAGGGCAGCATCAATGAAGAAAGCAAATAATTGCAAGAAGAGGCATATTTACTGCTATTAATTGAGGAACAGAAATGAATTACCTTCTTCTGGACTCTGCTCCTTCCTTAATGTGCAATGCATCAGCCTGGCTGTGAATAGAAACACAAAAGCTGTTCTGACTTCCCTACAGCTAAAACTCCTGTATTCTAGAATAACCCACATTGCACTTGTTCTCTCATCTCTCTGTGTGATAGTTCTTCACATAGGCTATTCCCATTCTGCAGAACTCCCACTTGAGCGAGGGAGAAATAGCAAGGAGTGCAAAGCTGTCACTTGCAGCAGGCACTTATGGGTCAGTGATTATAATCTGACAACAAACTAAGGATCCCAATTCCCTCTTTATATTTTACTTCTCTGCATTTTAAGAACAAGTAGAAGAGGAATCTGTTGCTTTTGGATGGATCTCTGTTACTACTATATGGAGTTAAAATGTGGCTGCATAGTGACGCAAACTCTGCTCCTCAGGGAAACCGGCAGGAGGGTAGGAAAGCAGTCCTTTCAAATGCATTCTGAAAAAAGTATTCAGCCCAGACCATCAACTGAAGACTTCCAAACCACTTTCCCAATGGGAATTTTGTCATTTACTGCCTTCAGAATGGACAGAGGCAAACACGCATTCAAAAAGGATTCCCGTCAGGCAGACAAATATAAGCCATCTCTCCACCCTCTGTGTTTCTTCTGACTTTTGTATTTGGGGCAATGCTCAATCATGTGCATTTCACAGTTGCACATCTGCAAAATATGCGTATAAGAAAGCAGCTTCTGTCATCCCATAATTATCAGGTCCTGTTTATCCAGAACAAACTTCATATGCCTTCGAGCAAGTCCCTCCCAGCAGCAAGGAGCAGGCGAAAGAGCAAGGAGCAACATTACATGTTTTAAACTAAGAACTGCTACTAAGAGCTGTTCTCTTATTCGCTCTCCATGCCAGTGTGACACGTTTGACTTCATGCCAGCATCTTATATTACATCCAAGTTACTTAAACCTTCGAAGGATTTCTGCAGAATTTAGTCTAGGATTGTTCTATGTGAAATAATATAGAGCACATGTGGACAAAATTAGGCAAATATCTATCTTTTTTATTTTTTTATTATGAATTCCGTTGTGCCATTGCATGGAACTGTTGTAGGAAACTCTCCTAAGACCTTCAAACTGAGATCTTGCCACTCTGAGTGCTGACAAGCAACAGCTGAAAAAGCGAAGGAAGAAAAAATCAGTTTTGTTTTGAGCAGAAGCAGCTAACCTGTATACTCTGCTCCATTCTAACCTTTTCACAGCAACACATGCGTTGCTCAGGTTAGCTGCTTTCATTTTTTTTCACAGATGAAATAACAGCAAGTTCATGGGCTGTCTCTGGCAAGCATTTTTGGCTCCCTCCTCCTCTGTCTGCAGTCTCACTGTCAGAACGCTCAGGGAGCAGAGCCTCATGCTCTGTAATTTATCTTTCTGCCCATCCCACTCTCATATCACTTTGCAGACGTGATAGGCGGAGGTGGCAGTGGCAGTGCTAGAAGAGCTGTGCTTTTTATTTTGAATGTGGATTTTTTTTGGTATATCTTTTTTTTTTCCCTGGAGAATGTTTATTAACCTCTCAGTCCTTTGCTTCAGAGGAAGAATGGAAATTTCCAGTGCCAAAGGAAAAAGGATTAGGAGTTGGTTTTAAAAACAGGGGGAAAGACAAGCTTTTGTG